CACCCACCTACCCCCGGCTCCACCACACACACACACACACACACACACACACACACGCACGCATGCACGCACGCACGCATGCACACAAGCACATGCACACGTGCAACTTCCTGGCAAGCACGCACCTCCGATCCCTGTCCATGCTTTGCACAGTCTGGGACAGTGCTCAGAATAGGCAGGTGAGCTGGCTGCAGGAACCTCGGCTTGTTCATGCGGCTAGACCGCAGGCCCACTGTGAGAGCAGCCCCCTCTCTCAGGAAAGGCTTCTCTGGTCTGTGTGAGTGTTCAGTGGACACTGTCCCCTGGCCACACGGAGTAGGATGTCAGGAAGCTTCAGGTGGTGGGAGGAGATTTGCTGGGGTTTCCTGAAAGCCTGACACAACACACCGAGACAGAATCCTGGGGACCCAGGCCAGGGCCCGCCACCCCAGGAGAGAAGGGACATCCCTCTCTGACTGGCTTCCAAGGACAGTTTGGCCCTAAGGAGACAAATTCGGTTGGGTCTTTCTTGACCCAAACCCACTCTGAAATGAGACAAGCTTCTCTCCTGGCAGGGGGTGGGGGCTTCCTAGGGGACAGTGTGCTGAGCACCTCCTGCAAGGGGCACCATAGGAGAGTGATTTTACAGTGTCTGGAGATTAGCAGTTCGAGTCCACCCAGAGGTGCCTCGGAAGAAAGGCTTGGTGATTCACTTCCAAAAGGTCACAGCCATTGAAAATCCTACAGAACACAATGCTACTCTGACATATGTGGGATCGCCATGGGTCGGAATTGACTCGATAGCAACTGGTTTTTTACGCATTTTGGATTGTCACAACTGGAGGGGGGTGTACTACTGACATCTAGTGGGTGGGGGCCAGCAGTGCTGCTAAACACCCTGCAATGCACAGGACCGCCCCCACAACAAAGAACTCCTGGCCCCAAATGTCCACAGGGCCCAAGTGAGAAGCCCTGCCCTAGCTGCCCAGCCCTTAGAAGAAGCCCCCAGCCCCACCTTCGGTGACTTGTGTTCTACACGAGGAGGCCATTGATACACGCAGACACCTTAGCTATCACCAGAGCACTGGGCCAAAAGCACAGAGGCCTGTCTGGCCCAGCTCTGCTTGACTAGCTGTTGGCCTTGAGTAAGTTACCTAACCTCACTGAGCCTTACGTTTCACATCACATAAAATGGGGATGACAAGACACACCTCAGACCCAAGACCCAAGGATGGGCACTGTCTCTTGTCCTATTTTGGCCTGAATTGCCCAGGTCTGAAGCATTGTAGGACTCAGAGAAGAACCAAATGCCAGATCAAGTGGTCCTTAAAGTCAGGTCTGTAGCTGGTCTGTGAAATGTGTGGAGTTGCAGCCAGGAACCCATCCATTAAAGAATGGGGTTGGGTGGAAGCCCTCCAAGGGCTGTCCCAGCTCAAAGTCATCTCGGATCCTGGCCTGGCCCACTTCCTGGGTATTCGAGGGCCAGTCCCTTCTGCTTCCTGAGCCTCCTTCCTTCCTCTGTAAAATGGGGGCTGTGGCTTACTGCTCAGGGTCACTGCAAGATGTCATCGGAGGAGTCAAGAACATGGGCTCTGGACCTAGATTGCTTGGGTTCTGCTCCTGCTACTTTACTTGCTCTATGACCCTGGACAGGTAGCTTCACCTGTCTGGGCCTTGGTTTCTTCATCTGTAAATTGGGAATAGTAATATTACCTCCCTCACAGTATTTTCGGAAGGCTTAGATGAGTGACTACGTATAAAGTGGTTAGAACAGAACTTGGCATTTGGTAAGCCCTATGTCCCTTTTTGCTATTTTTCTTGTTCGTTTGATGACGATGATGTAGGAAAATGCTCAGCACAGCCTGGCACACAGTTGACATTTAATAAACTGTGCTTACTACTACATGGCACTGGTCAGTGGCTGGTGGAAGCCATTGTTTAGCCTGACTCTGGGCTCGGTGCCCCCTTCCCTCTCTTGCAGGACAATGCCGTCCTCCATCTCTTGGGGCCTCCTCTTGCTGGCAGGTCTGTGCTGCCTGGTCCCTGGCTCCCTGGCCAAGAGACCCAAGGGAGACCCTGCCCAAGAAACGGAATCATCCAAGGAGGATCATGACAAGCACCAGCATCCAGCCTGCTACAAGGTCTCCCCAAATCTGGCCAACTTCGCCTTCAGCCTGTACCGCGAGGTGGCCCATCAGTCCAACACCACCAACATCTTCCTCTCCCCAGTGAGCATCGCCGTGGCCTTTGCGCTGCTTTCCACTGGGGCCAAGTCTGACACCCACAACCAGATCCTGGAGGGCCTGAAGTTCAACCTCACCAAGACATCCGAGGCCGAGATCCATGTAGGTTTCCAACACCTGCTCCACACCCTCAACCAGCCAGACAGCCAGCTCCAGCTGACCACTGGCAACGCGCTGTTCATCAACGAGAGTCTGAAGCTAGTGGATAAGTTTTTGGAGGACGCCAAGAAGCTGTATTACTCAGAAGCCTTCTCCATCAACTTCAGGGACAACGAAGCAGCCAAGAAACAGATCAATGATTACGTGGAGAAGGGAACCCAAGGAAAAATTGTGGATTTGGTCAAAGAGCTTGACGAAAACACAGTTCTTGCTCTGGTGAATTACATTTTCTTTAAAGGTAAGTTGCACAACCAGCCTGAACTGGTTCCCACGGAAGCATCCAAAAGTATTCTCCAACACTCAGTTCTTAAACTTCCCTTGGCGGTGCAGTGTGGGGCATGTCAGTCTATCTCAGCACGTGTCCTTACATTTTCCACCTGCAACCAGTAAGAATCCTTCCATGGTCAAATAAGTTTGGGGAATGCTGGGTTAAACAGAGTCAAATCATCTTCTTCTCTATAGGACTTTTCAGAGCCTTAATGTCCTGATGTACGTTATAAATCTCTACCAGGGATCGAGGGAGATTGTGTAATATTTCTCAAAACACATTGTCAGAAAAATTTTTAGAATATCTGAAGGGAATAGTGTTTCATGGAATATACTTTGGAGACCTCTGGTGTAATAAAAGGAGTATCAGCTTTGGAGTCAGAAAGACCTGGGTTCAAATCCTGGTTCTACCACTTATGAGCTGTGTGATCATGGATAAATCACTTTACCTGTCTGAGGTTCTAGTTTCCCATCTATAATATGTAAATAATAAAACTCTTGCTGTCAAGTGGTTGTAAGGGCTAAACAAGTTAGAGAGTCCCTGGGTGGTGGAAACAGTTAACGCACTTGGCTGCTAACCAAAAGGTTGGAGGTTCAAATCTACCCAGAGGTACCTCGGAAGAAAGGCCTGATGGTCTACTTTCAAAAAATCAGCCATTGGAAACCCTATGGAGCACAGTTCTTCTCTGATATATATGGGGTCTCCATGAGTTGGAATTGACTCAACAGCAACTAGTTTTTGGTTTCAAAAGGTTAGCAAGCACACAGGAGTGTGCCCAACACATAGTAGGTGCTCAGCTAATGTCTTATCTGAGCCTGTCTTCCTGCCTCTGAGTATTTAAAATGCTGGGAACTTGCAGGCCTCAGAGAGCATTCCAAGCCAGTGTTTAAATTGTCACATGGCAATTGGCTGGGGTGTCCCATGGAAATCAACTGGGATGCGGAGGCTGAGTTCTAGGCAAGGGGTTGCTTGCTTCACTGGGTCCACTCCCTTCCTCTGGAGGCAGACTGGTGCGCTGCAGACCTGGGGCGGGGGCCAGCACAGCTGAGGTCCCAGCTCTGCAGTGTGACCTTAAACAGGCTTGGTCCTCCCTCTGGTCTCACTCTTCTCCTCCTGTCCAGTGAGAAAGGTGGGCTCCATGATCCCCAAGGTACATCCCTACTCTGACTTGCCATGGTGGTGATGCTGTCCTGGTCTAGTAAAGGAGAAGGCTGCCCAGGCACCTGCATTTCCTGTGTTGGTCCAGGAAAAGGCCTTCTGAGTAATTACGAGAATACTTACCTTGAATGCTGACCGAACTGCCCATTTACAAGGCAAGGCGGTGCCAAGGTATGGCTTGGGGAGCTTCAGACCTCTCCCAATAATTTTCAGTCATCTTCCCCCAAGCCACCCTCAGATAAACAAAGTTCAAGTAAGAATGCTTATTCTGCACAGCCAGTTGCAGGATAAAGCTGTAGCCTCTGTCCAACCACGTTGGTGCTTCCAAGCCTCCGAGATGGCCATTTGGGATCCCTCTCTAGCCTCAGACTATCCTCACAAAAGCCCTTGCAGTAGCCTGGATGGATTTTGTTTTGGCCCCATTTTTACAGATGAAGACACTGAGGGTCAGAGAAAGGTATCTTACCAGGTGGTTCAGAGTTTGCCTTGAGCCTTGAGTCCACCACTGTGATGTAAACCTTGGCCCCAGCCCTGGCTGAAGTTCACTTCCTCTGTCTCCAGGCAAATGGAAGAAGCCCTTCGAGGTGGAGCAAACCCAGGATGGGGACTTCCACGTGGATGACGAAACCACGGTCACAGTGCCCATGATGAATCGCCTGGGCATGTATGACCTCCACTACCACGAGAAGCTGTCCAGCTGGGTGCTGCTCATGGACTATGTGGGCAATGCCACAGCCATCTTCATCCTGCCCAAGCCGGGGAAGATGCAGCAGCTGGAGGACAGACTCACGAAGATACTCCTTTCCCAGTGGCTGGGAGAAAGACGCACACGGTGAGTCTCCACCTAGGGGCTGAGCCACCTCAGGACCAGCCAGAGGGTTGGGGAGAGTGGGGCCACAACTGCTGTGGATGTCTTTCTGCCTGCAGATGGATCCCTGAGCTCAGTTCCGTCAGTACCATCTGGGCACTGTGAAAGGGACCAAGGTCCTGTCCTCTGGGGCATCATCCTTAGCATGATATCCAGCACCCAGTGCAAGGACAGAGACACCACATGGTGCTATGGGAGAACCAAGACCACAGAAAGCCTTCCTGGCCACAGTGGCAATGTAGTTTGGAGTTAAAGGATAGAACGTCAATGGGCAGACAGGGGAAGAGCCTGCTTGGAGAAGGCATGGCAAAAGCAAAGGCCCAGAAGTCATGAAGTTCAGGGCATGTTTGCAGAATGTTGTATGTTCCTCTGCAACTAGATCAGAGTGGTTTGATGGGCATCCCAGTAGGAAACATATACTTGAACATGTACCCCAAGTAAGTGTGTATTTACTTATTCAATAATATACCCGTGTTCTACTGAACTATTTTATTATTTACATTATGGAACAACGGAAGTATCAGGTTAAAATATGCATAGAAGTTTTAATGTCTTAAAGTGTGTTAATCCCCACCACAGCCCCACTCTCGTCCCTGCACCCCAAGAGAACACGGAGTGCATTGAGCCTTGAGGGGCAGTCCACTCGCTCGTGTGGACCCCTTCTCAGGCCTCGTTCTTTCCCCATGGTAAAGGAGCCTTGAGCAATTGAGCCATCCAGCCTCACACAATCACTCATCTCTCCTTCTCTGGACAAATGTCACTCAGCTCCTGCCACCACATGTCCTGAGTGGCCCACTGGAAACTGAGGCCCATGGGAGGCTCCCAGTCTGGTGGGGAGACCAAGCCACTGTGGCGGAGACTGAGACGCACTTAGCAAAGGACACACTGACTTTGCCTGGAGGGGCTTCTCAGACAAGGTGGCATTTGAGAGAGATTTGTCAGCACAAGGCGACCCCTTTGAATGCTAGCATTCTCTGATTCCATGTGTAGTGGAAGCTAAAAAGCAGAATAAACCAAGGCTGACTCCCCATCCTTGGGGCGGGCAGGAGGACAGGGTGCCAAGCGGGGAAAACAACAACAAAACACTCTACACTGTGGTGGAGCTGAGCCCAGGCCTTAATATGCTCTGAACCGCCTCCAGGTCCGCCATTTTGTCTTTTCCCAAACTGTCCATTTCTGGAACCTACGATCTGAGAAACCTCCTGGGCAAACTGGGCATCACCAAGGTCTTCAGTGATGGGGCCGACCTCTCTGGGATCACTGAGAATGGACCCCTGAAGCTGTCTAAGGTGAGACCACCCCATGAGATGACCATGTCCCTTTGTCTGTTGGTTAAAATGTTTATGGGGGCCACAGCTCAGGCAAGGGGCTGTGGGAAGGGCAGAAGAAGCACAAACAAGATCCTCTGAGGAATCCAACTGCATTCACTAAACTGGAATGCAGTCAAGTGCTTCTGGCACTTCAGTGTCCTTGACTGAGGTTGTTGCTGACCGTCTGTCTCACCTTTCCTTCTTTGTGACTCAGCTTACCCATATGTACAAAGAGAGGCTTAGGCTCGGTGATTTCCAAAGACTTTCCAGCCCCAGGGTCCTGTGGCATTTGGAGCTATTTAGCAAATCACCAAGACAAAGTTAGCAGATGGTTGCAGCTAAAAAAGGCAGTTTATTCAGGTAGATAAAAGGTCATCAAAGAAACGACCACAGTTCAGTTATTGACAGTGTACTGAATGCCTGGTTTTGTATGAGGCACTTTGAAGATCACCATCAAAGTTCTTGCCCCAAAGAGTTAAAAACCTAATGGCAGAAACCAGATAGACATGTGAGGCAGAGAGACAGTGCCAGGTAAGCTTCCACATCCTGAAGTTGGGGGTTGTGTCCCACGAGGTCAAGAGGTGCAGGTCAGGAAGGGAGAGGTGAGTTTGATAGGTGGAATCAGGGAGAGGCCCTGAGAAAGAAGAGAAAGGCCTGGGTGAACATGGAACAGAGCAGAGAACCGGAGAGGGCAAGGACGGTCCAGGCGCAGAGAGGCCCGAGCCTGGTGTTGAGGGGCAGGGAAGGAACCAGTCCCTGGGGAGGGGAGAGGACAGGGGAGGTGGTGAGGTGGGTCAGGTGCATATGCTGTGGCCAACTGATGAAGCCCCACAGTTGCCAGACTAAAGATTTAAATTTTGTCCCTCATTCACATACACACACATGCACACACATACACGTATGCATGCACACGCATGCATGCACACACACAAATACACACAGGCACACACATAAATGCACACACAGGCACGTGTGTGCACACATATGTACACACATGCATGCAGACTCACACTCACACACCTGCATGCACACACACACACACACACACACACACAGCTACACATGCACATGCACACACAGGCGTACACTGACACACGCACACATACATAGGCACACACAGACTCATGCGCACAGTCACACACACACGCACACACGTATGGCACACATCCACGTATTGGGAGCCTAACCGTGTTAAGCTCTTTACAAGAGTCATCACAGTGGCCCTATCAGACAGCTGTGACTTTCCTATTTAGAACCCAGGCTTCAAGAAGCTAAGCAAACTCCATGCAGTGATATAACCGGTGGAAAGTGGGATTTGAATCCTGATCCTTATGATGGAAAATTGTATTCTTTCCACCACACCATGCTGATCTGGTTGTGAATACTGCAGTTAATTCTTTGATGGAAATACTCCCATGCAGACACCCAGCCTGGATTCTGCTGGTTTGTTTATTGCCATTGTTGCTTTCAGTTGAGGAAACGTTAACAAGACCAAGCTCCCCGAAGGTCTCCGTGGCAAGAGCCTGCCCTTGCGTCCCCGGGAGCTGTCCCTCACAGGTGGCCCTGCTCCAGGGCTGGGTAGGGGTGGCGCAGCCTACTAGGCCTCCCCCACTGACAGCAGGCCTCTGTGCTTTGTCCCCTCCAGGCGATGCATAAGGCTGTGCTGACCATCGACGAGAAAGGGACAGAGGCTGCTGGGGCCTCCTTTTTGGAAGCCATCCCCATGTCAATGCCCCCCACGATCAAATTCAACAGCCCCTTCCTTGTTATCATCTATGATGAGAACACCAAGAGCTCCCTCTTCGTGGGGAAGGTGGTGAACCCCTTACAAAAATAACTGCCTCTCAGGCTCAACCCCCCACTCCCAGGCCAGGTCTCCTACCTTGGTGAGCAATAAAGTGTGCGCTGACCTGGCCAAGTTTGAGTGTGGTCTTGCCCATCTCTTCATCCCATTCTCGGAGTTTCCCTTTACACCCTAAGGGAATGTGTGGAATCAAGGTCACGGGGTTCTTTAATTATTCATTTAATTAATATTTATTGACAACTTACTGTGTGCCAGGCACTGCGCTAGGCACAGGAATTAAAAGATGAAATGTTGGCCGAAATCCACATCTTATAGGCTCTTGCCTCAGCCTGCTTATGCAGAAGTTCCAGGCTTGCCAGTCACGTCTGGGACTCACCCAGGGTGACTCTGAGTATGTCTTCAGAGAGAACACACTGTCCCCAGTTTCCACCAAGCACCCACCATGTTCTCCTGTTAGCCTCCCTTCCAACGCTCACTGCTCCACCACGTGAGAGCCCTCAGCCCTGCCAGAGCTGCCAGTGCCGACCACGAGGCTGCCCTCTTCCTGCCTTTGCTTCCAGAGCCGTCAGCCCACATGGGCGCACTGAGCTGCTGTGTCTCTGGCAACAGTAGGGAGAAGGCCATGTCTCCAGTTCATCCTGCTTTGTCACCTGAGCAATGCTTGCGCCCCTGCATCTCACAAGGACTTTCCCGCAGATGGCGCCTGGAGATTTCTCCTGTAGGTCTTTCTCCATGGGGCTGGACAGGGTACACATGTTGTCTTCCCTGTTATTCCCATCTCTGCCCCAAATCAAAAACCCAAACCAGTTGCTGTTGAGTCGATTCCAACTCATGGTGACCCTGTGTGTGTCAAAGTAGGACTGTGCTCCATGGTGTTTTCAATGGCTGTGACCTTTTGGAAGTAGATCAACAGACCTTTCTACTGAGGGCTCTGGGTGGTTTTGAACAACCAACCTTTCAGTTAACAGCCAAGCACCACCCAAGGACTCCTGTCTCCACCCCAGGAATTCCCAAATACATTTCCTCTTAGAAGCAGGTCCGTTCTCCCCAGGCAGAGAGGTTCCCTGGGTCTTGGTCTTTATCACCTCATCAAGCTCACCCAGGTCGACAGCACCTCCCAAGTCTACTACCACACTTACCCTATGTCTTCTCCTCCCTAGCCATGTGCCCAAGATGCCTTGGATGGCTCTGGAGAGTCATTCTCCATGCCCTCCTCAGTCACTGGGCAGGGAAGCATGGCAGCCTGGCTGACTCCCCCTACCTGCTCCCTGCCCTCCCTTTAGCTAAGCTCTAACGGGGCCACATTGCAACCTGTGCCTTGTTCCTGCTCCATGCCCATCACCGTGGTCTTCAGAGGCAACCACAGCTTGGGTGCCAGCACTGGAGGCTGTCCGGGGACTGCCCTTTCCAGTAAGGGCCACCTGCACCTTCTCAGCCCCCAAGGCCCTGCTGAAGGGCTACAGAGCCAGGAGCCTTGCAGTGTGCCTTGCCTGGAGGAGTCTACTCCTTGCTGGGCCCACAGAAGTGTGTTTATCCTGTGGAACTTACTGTCCATCCCATGCAAATCCAGTAACCTCCACTCCAGGCCAGGCTCTGAGGATGAATGTCTACCTCAAGTAGTCACGTGGAATTGTCATGACTTAGGTAAAAAATGGTCAAATAGCAATAATTTCATATGATTCAGTCTACTAGCAAAAGGTTTCAACTGTTTCCCCAACAAATCTCATGTTCTCTTAAGTTTCCTCAGCTCAGATACCTCTGACCCCCACAAATTCCATTAATGATATGAACATCATACCCACTTAGGATGATGGCAAGGCAAGAGTGTCAGACTTGAAGTCAGAGGATCTGGATTCAAGGTCAGGTTCTGCCACTTACCAGCTGTATGACCTTGGAGAAGTCACCAAACCTTTCTGAGCCTCAGCTGCCTCATCATGGATAATAAAACCTACCTGTTGATTTGGCATGAGGTTCCAATGAGATAAAGATACAGCTTGTACTAAGATGCCAAAGCAGGAAGTGAATGTAAAGGACTATGTTTCTCATAAGGAGCCCTGGTGGCACAATGGTTAAGTGCTCAGCTGCTAGCCACTTGTGACACCTGAGAAGAAAGATCTGGTGATCTGCTCCCGTAAAGGTTACAGCCTAGAAAACCCTATGGGGCAGTGCTACTCTGTCACATGGGACCTCTATGTGTCAGAATTGACTTGATGGCACACAGCAACCTGTTTCCCATGGGTCGTACCCTGGGTGGTACAAAGAGTTAATGTGCTTGGCTGCTAACCAAAAGTTTGGAGGTTAGAGTCTACCCAGAGATGCCTCAGAAGAAAGGTCTGGTGATCTACTTCCAAAAAATCAGCCACCGAAAAACCTAAGGAGCACAGTTCTACTCTGACACATATGAGGTCACCATGAGTCGGAGTTAACGTGACAGCAATTGGTTATGTTTCTTGTGCTCATGAGCTCCTTCTATGAGCCTTCTATGCCCTGGGCAGTGCTTTCCAAACACAGTCTCATTTAACCCTCATAGAAGCACTGTAATACCTGCCGAGTATAACTGCTATGCCCATATATGCCCATTGCACGGACAAGGAAACTGAGGCTCAGACAGGTTAATTGACTTGCTCAAGTTCACACAGGAGCAAGTGGTAAAGCTGCCTCTAATTGTTCTGCTAAAGCTCAGCACCTCGCTCCACACCCTTCCAGAGGGCCACGCTGGACTTTGCAGTGCTAAATTCCTCCTTGAAGCATGAGGACCACTGGTGACTCACAGCGCACACCTAGGAGGCTTCCGCACCAGCAACCCAAACCAAAAACCAGAATGTTCCTTAGAAGCGAGGATGGCGAGACTACGTCTCACGTACTTTCAACATGTTGTCAGGACGGATCAGTCCCTGGAGAAGGATGTCGTGCTTGGTAAAGTAGAGGGTCAATGAAAAAGAGGAAGATCCTCAACAAGATGGATTGACACAGTGGCTGCAACAATGGGCTCAAGCATAGCAATGATTGTGAGGATGGCCCAGGACCGGGCAGTGTTTTGTTCTGTTGTACATGGGGTCGTTATGAGTCGGAACCAACTAGACGGCACCTAACAACAACAAGAATGGGAACTGACTGGGGCTGGGCAGGGGTGGGCAGAGCATCAGGACACCAAAGTTACAAGGAGGACAAGTGTGTGCCAAACTTCCTCAGCTTCACATTGTCCTTTAGAGTTTTTAAAAAATGTAGTCACCGTCTTCTCTAATCCTCAAAACCCGTCCTTGAAGAACACAGGCTAGGAATTGTTATCCCCAACGTACAGATGGGGAAGTTGAGGTCCAGCGAGGTAAAATGACCTGTCCAGTGTAGACCCAGAAGGTGAGTCCTCTCCTCGGGGCCTGTGATGCCGCCCTGCGTGTGCTTCTCCAGGCGATGTGGATCATAATGAACAATCCCGGCCCATGCCTCCCAGTCCACACTGCATCTACCTCGAAGCCCCAATGCCAGCTAAAAGCATTGCTGCTGAGAGTTCATTTTGGGTTGAATCAACTTTACATCGAAGTGCTTCCAGGCAGGGACCCGACTCTGCTCCAGAGACCAATGAGAGGGAAACGTACAAAGCAGGGTCCAGGATTCACCCAGGGACAACATAGCAATGACCCTGCATGTCGGTCCATAGTTCACAATGGAAACGGCACAGGATTTGAAGTCTAAGCAAAAATAAATACAACTTTGGTTTTAAGCCCCACCTCGGCCCCTACCGGTGGTGCCATCTTGGGTCCCTAAGCCACATTTGTAAAATGGGGAAATAGTCTGGGTGCTTCTGGCTTTCTCAGGTGTGAATGGCTTCAGAAATGGGAAACGCAGATTTATGTACGGACTCCCCTCCCCTCAGCTCACTCGCTCTTCTCAAAAGTCCAGAGGGTGGGCATTTGTTCAACAAACAAACAAGCAAACATTTGCTGTATACCTACTATAAACCAGTTACTGTCGAGTTGATTTCAACTCATGGCTATCCCATGTGTGTCAGAGTAGAACTGTGCTCCATAGGGTTTTCAATGGCTCATTTCTCAGAAGTAGATCTTCAGGTCTTTTTTCCAAGGCACCTCTGGGTGGACAGCCTCCTTCACAACTTTTTGGTTAGCAGCTGAGCACATTAACTGTTTGTACCACCCACAGACTCTGGGTACCTCCTACATCCTGGGGATTAGAGGAGAATTAAACCCAGGTCCTCACCTCGAAGACTGCAGGCCTGCTGGGGCTGATAATGGACGCATAAACCAGGGCCCTGCAGTAGGGTGTGTGTGTGGCTGCAGACCCTTTACAGAGCTAGTGGGAAATGATTAACAGACCCCCCACCAGCAACCAGAGAGCTCCTCTACAAGGTGTCATTTGCTGGGTAGTCACAATTGTGGGGCAAGCAAAGCAGGCAGTGGATTGTTCACAAGACTTGTTAGGGACAGCTTCTGAAATCTGAACCAGCTCTTGGAGGACAAATGGAGTTCTCCTGGGTAGAGAGATCAGAGAAAGACACTCACCGAGGCATGAGCCATCTCAAGATCCTTGACTTAACCACGTCTGCAAAAGCTTCTTTCCCACGTAAGGTCACATTCACAGGTTCTGGGGTTCAGGGTGTGGACATGTCTTTGGGGGCCATTATTTTGCCACCACAGGTCCTAACTTCCCAGCAAGGAGACGATGCCAAGGGAGGGAGTGAGGAAGTGAAGCAGGTGATGGTGTGAAGGAAGGCTGCGACCAAGGAGCGCTATGGAACCAAGCCTGGAGACCAGGAAGGATTGGGGGCAGGGTGGGATGGGAGGAAGGGAAGGTGTCCCAGGTGGAGGGCAGTAGAGGGCAGCAAGAGCACAAAAGTCCCATTCAAGGAGATGGGGAGGAGTCAATATGGCTAACCCCTGAGGAGTGCAGACTGGCAGCCCCTCCAAGGCCAGAGCTGCCTGGAGACAAGCATGGACAGTGTGGACAGGCCTCGACTAACGCATTCTACAGCAAAAAAGATTTCAGGCCTG